TAGACATGATGAAAATAAACTATTCGTTAGGACACTTCCGAAAATTTATGAGGACACCATCGGTATAATTCCTCAAAATTTCAATCTGCTCCTCATTAAGACTATGTCGAGTTCGACGTACAAATTGCTCGTTTCGACTGCCTCATCAAATGAACAATCACACGAATGAATCATACTTGAACAAATAAATGATGAACAATTATGCGTACATCAACTGTTGTCTGTTTGTCATCAACGAATCATGAATTGACGTTGGCTTAATGACCACATGACGACTATGCAGACAGTTGCAAACCGTGCTTTTGACGCAACACACGAGTGACGTACAGGTAGAAGAAATCTGCGTATAGAACCGTTTGCACAATACCCGCGATCACGGCTATCGGATCGAAGAAACCCTCGGTGAAGTAACGATAAATCCAGTTCAGAATGTACAAACCACTGCAATTGATAAGAAATAAAATCAAAGTATTTCCGAATACATAATTCATTCCCACGAATCAATTCAAGTGATTCAGTGAAGCCATCAATACGAATATGTTAAAAACATTATTAAAAGAACTCTCTGACAAGCACACTCCTCAGTAAACAAACACCACACGGATTCAGCAACAGCCTAGGTTGAATCATTCAAAATGTTCTGAAAAAACCCTCCGCTCTCATATTTCGTAACCATCTTCAATCATCACTGTTTACAATTCCTAGACAACTACGAAACTACGGTTTCAACCCTGCAGAGTAGTATCATTCTCACAACCACTCCTAATCAGTCAATTCACGAAAATAATTCATACGAACCGATATGACCCGAGTGCAAACAAGTAATGAGCCGTGATCGTTTCCGCACTTCCAGTTCTTGATAACATGAACAACTGCGGCATTATGGCCACTGACTCCAGATAGATCGAGAACGTCCACATCACCTGCATAATGACACTTACAATTCGGAAAGGAAATGAAACAAACATTATAAACGAATTTTTCTTAATTAGATGCGTCTTAATTAATTAGATCACTCGCATCTTCCTTAATTAGATGCGGTGTTCATGA